GTTCCAGCTCCGTACAGTAGAACTAACTGTCTTGACGTTCGTATTAAAGATTCTCACCTTGAAATTAGTTGACATTTGTTCTGAGTTCCATATGTTCTTCAATTGTAGGAATGCGGTCCTTGCTTTGCCAATCCTCGCCTTTGTGTCTGCATCCGATCCTCCTTGTTCATCAATGATGCTTCCCATGTACGTGAATGTTACCACCTGTTCCAGAGTTTCTCCATCAAGTGTGACTGGGTTGGTGTTCTCTGTATTGTATTTGAGAATCTTACAGTTTTTAGTGAACATAAAATATTTGATTTATTCATAATATAACTTATCAAAAATTACTGTCGACCTCATTTCATGTAACTAAATGTTTTTAATAAAATACAAATGATGTATTATACTAAAATTCCGTTGACACATAGTACATTATCACTTCATAAGTTTTAGTATTTTAAGTAAAATACGTGATAACTAACTTAAAAGTTCTACTGCCACGTTTATTAAAATTCAGTTCAATTCGATCTAATATTACAAAGTATTTAATATGATATGGGTAAGTATTACATATTAGGTAATTTAGACCCGTAATTACCATATTCTGCAATCACGTGAAGAATTTAACTATATACTGCAATATCTCTTCCTAATTAAATAAGACGATAAACTCTGGTCTTTATAATTGTGTATTTAATAAGTTATTATTAGAATGGGGGCTTGTGAAGACTAGTAATTTTTATGGTTGAATCCATCAGTCGATGTAAGCTAGACCACCATTGAAAACTTAAAAGTACTGGACGGCCGTTTCATCCTAGTTCGAGAATTCTCAGCAGTACGTATCCATGATCCCGAACTCGGAACTCGAACGCAGGACGTTCGATATCGCGCGCGAACTCTTAACCTCTAAACCATCGAGCCGGCATCCAACGGTGTTAATTTCTAACCTCAGTCGATTCATGATCTTGAACATCCATTGTCTGGTGACGGCTTCTCACTAGAACTCCAGGAAATCCATCTTGAAGTTATTCACAAGTGAGTATATGATTGTTATTAGTATGGGGATTTATGGAGACTATTTCATAAGTCTCATGAAGATTATAAAGTTTTATAACTATTATGTATATCAACTGAAATGTTATGTATGCTACTCAGTATAAAGTAACAGAGAACAATAGAAATATAACAAAAGTACTTTAATAGTCCAAAACATAATTTACAATCGTGGGTTCTGATCATTTATTAGTCAAGCTCAACTGCGAACTAACCAGATAAGTTTAAGATATATGGGGGTTGTCGCAGAAAAATATTAAAAACTGCAATTAAATGAGTCACGATGATTTACAATTTAACAAATTGTGAATCACGTGGAATTGGTACCAAAAAGAAGTATTGATTAATTATCTAACCTCTAAATTATATTATAATCAAAGTTGTACAAGCAGAGGATACAGGCTGAAATATACAGTTGTCTTAAGAAATATTCTTATTCGCATGGTCTAAAAAACATAGTGGGGCAACGTCAAATGTGCCTTAATGGTACTTGATAACAAGAGATGATATTTGTTCCCCGAATGTTGATAGGGATATATAACATAGGCGTGTATTCATGTTTTTTACTTAACGGATGAATTCCCTGATCTACCAATCTTGTCTCGCTCAAGTATTCAGGAAACAATAGGTAAGTAAGGTGTCCTGCAGGTTATATGGTAGGGAAATGACCCGATACTTTCACCATATTGAGTATATCACTTGACAGGAAAGTGTTATGGTAGCCATCGTTTCTAGTCGGAAAATATGCCATAAAAATATATCAGACTGCTAAAGACACTTGGTTACGGCTGTATAACACTGTAATTTATGATGATCTCAATGAAAAGCCCTTTTTAGTGTCATATGATCATTTTTAATTTATTTAGAAATAGCATAAAAATTTCGATGATTGGTAGTGCTTCCGAATCCGTTAACCATTGGTTGGAGACTCCAGGTGACATGGCTCAGTATCGATCACAATGACGTAGGTGTACACACTCTTTATCTCCCCTTAAACCTTAAGATTAAAATTGCTTCATAACATTCTTCCTTCTTATACTATATTCTTATATACAACCTATCTTTTATATACTACCACCACTAAATTAACTACTGTGAATCCAGTGTTCATCTTGTTGTGCTAACGAGGTATGGCAACTGACTGACTTCACTCAGGTATTAAATTAATGAAACGGAAATATTGATCGTAATAATGATATAATTGAGTAAGCTAAATATCTTGTTCTAAAGTACGAACTTTGCTTGAGTAATTTTCATTCACTTACAGACATATTTTTGGTTGTTTCTATCATTTCTTTATATGAACATTAACACAGTAGAAAATTTTCAAGAATGAATATGTTCACATACACCATGAGTACGTTCAGCCATTAAAACAGATTTACTTTAGATTATGATCAGCATAAAAGTATCCAATCTCTTTATAAATAAACAGATTTATGTTAATTTCACAGACTCAAATGACTTCATCAACATTAATTGTCTTATTGAATCCATTAACACTGTGAAATGTATTACCTTATCGTAACTTACTGTGGTATTTGTACTAACTGATAATTCCTTCGTACTTGACTGCGCACTTATTTAGCTCTACCTGCCTAACAATGCACTATAACGGGAATTCTTAGTTAGCGAATCAGTTTGATTACTTCTAATTATCATATTATTATACAAACTGCTAATTATGATATTGACGAATATAATCGTGGGAACAATCAATGACATTGCTAGCAAGTTCAGTGGAATTTTTATCACATTCAAGCATAATAATTGAAAGACTGGAGCTGCTGTTTGCAAGCCTGTAGAATATATTTTGTAAGGCAGAAACTAAGAATGAGAGAACAGCTGAAATAATAAGTATGGGTTATTTCACCAAAAGCTTTAGCTCTGACTTAGAATACATCGCACACTGTATATTATTTAAGTATTGCTGCAAATATTGAGTAGCTGTGAGCTGAACTAAGTTATTGAAAGGATTTATAGGGTCTATTCGTGTCGCTGAACACAAAAGAATCCCACTTACATTCTTTGATAAGTGTCTACTTATGTTTATTATACTGGCGGACTACTTTCGAATTCAGAAAAATAAGTGTCTTTTTCCACAATTCATATGAACAACATTTACACAATCTATTATGCTAGATCATTGGCTCACATTTAGTACCATAACAAATGCTAGTTTTTATTTAGTCAGTTATATAGTGGTTATGGATTTATTTAACTGAACACATAAATATTAGTACAAGGGGGCACCAGATATATATGCGCCACACGAACTAATAAGAATGGTAAGCAGAAAAGAAGGTAAGGTGTGTATAAGAAAAAAACAATAACAACCACAGATTAGTGTATGTTAGTGTAACAATAAGAATAATAATGGGGGAGACGGAAAGGTACAGTCAGACTCATTCCATGACATTGGAGCACTCTCTAGCTCCCAGACCTTCGTAAACAACTGTCAATTCCTTAGCCAGAAAGTCATCACCATCTTTCAAAAAAGCCAGAGGTAAGTCATCTGGGCCCGGTGATTTGTAGCGCTTTGAGGGTTGGAGCTTTTGCAGAATTCCGCTCCATTTGGTGGAGCAGTCGTCACCGTCCACAGAGGGCAGGACACCCTAATCGACGTTGCCGGAGCAGCAGGCCAGTTGGACTGCTCTTCAAAGAATTCTGCACATCGTCCAAGGCGTCGATGTATGTTAGTTGTTGGCATCCAGTCATCTTCACATATTGTTTCACTTACACAAGACTTCATGCCGCCAGTAGCTCGGATGAACTGAAAGAACTTCCGGCAGTTACCAGATGCAGCTGCTGCTTCAAGCTCGTTAGCACGCTCCGAACACCAGGCTTCTCGGTTCTTACGCATGCTTTGCCCAATTTCACCATGTAACAGCCTTCGTTTGTGGTCATACTCACGGTCACCCGGAGTAGATCGACGGGCTTCCATCGGTTGTAAGGAGCCCGAAGAAACCCAGTGTTTGTAAGCGGGACGTTTCGCGAAGCTGCAAGCGGCTTTACTCGCCATTTTCATGGCGTCATGCAGTTGCAACCAATGCTCATCTATACTTTTCGGTGAGATGGTGGCTAGCCTAGAAGCTAGCTCGGTCAGAAACTTACTTGCAACCAAGTTACTGACATCAATCAGTTGATGACGTTCAATTCGTTGGCCACTGAAAAGTAAGGTAAGATTGGTGCAGACCAGGGCATGATCAGACTCCATACAGGTACTCCAAAAGGAGCGGCAGTCTTGTACACAACCACGCCAGCGGTAGTTGATCGCGATGTGACCAATCTGAGTCCAGGCTTGAGATGCAGAGGGAGGACGCCAGGTGACACACCGGCGATGACTGCGCCGGAAGTTAGTGCTAGCCAGAAACAGGTTGTGGTCTGTGCACAGTTGCAGCAAACGGTCCCCGTCATCTGTCCTGTGACCAACAAGTTCCCATCGGCCACTTAAACGACTCTCTTCTGTGCCTAGACGCCCGACCTGTGCATTCAAGTCTCCGGCTAATACTACAATATCTGTCGAACGCGCTTTCTGGAGAAGAACTGTTAACTGGTGGTATAATTAATCATTGATTGCATCCGGGCTGCAATCTGTCGGTGCATAGGCGGAGATGACGAAAAGACATCGTTTCTCACGCTGATTTCTTCTCACTTTGATGGAACTTTCTAATCTAACAGCACATAACCGACTGTTAATGTGGATCCAATCGATTAGTGTTGTCTCAGCTCTAGCGCTTTGTGCGAAATCAACGCCAGCAAAACGAAACGAAGATGCCACAGGTTCCCACGATAAGCGCACGTGGAACAGGCTTTTTGAAGAGTGACAAATGGAAAGCGAATTTTTAGTACTTCACCAGTCTTGAATACGGGTCTCGGATAGACAACAAAAGTTGACATTAAGATTTTCTAAAGACAGCCAGCCCTATCTGGTGTCCGATCTGCATTAAGTGTGGTCATATATAAAGTGCATGTGTTCTTTATTTCGCCACTATTTGGATGTAAGATTACAATCGCTACTGAAGAATTAATTCGGCTCACACACCAGAAGGAAACCTGATTTGTTAAAAAATGTTATCACAAACAAACTGGTTGATCTTTGAAGTATTAATATTCCTGGAAGTTTTCATACTGACTATTAACTTTTTACTACACGGTCTAATAAATCTATCTGATAGTCTTTTTCTCAAAAAATTAACATCATGCAAAAGTCTATGGGAAATATAATGACTTTTGTACAAAGTCAATGTATTTTTTAATATAGATATTCAGTAAGAAATTAATTGCTGATGACATGAAGGTGCTTATGTGACGTACAGTTACCATGAGACAGAAGGCAGGAATATTTTACAAATTTATTTATATCATATAAAATAAATTTTTAAGAATCATTCTTGTTGAACAAATGGATTAGGTATAGACTCCATTCCATCTGCAGGACAAACAAGTTCCACAGATGGACCCCTGTAAGAGATAAAAAAGAAAGTTAAAAGAGATTGTGATTATTAATTATAATAACTCTTTGTGTAATTATATAGAAAGTATGACATGGTCTATTCAAAAACCTAAGCTTTAAAATAACTTCCAATGTTATATAAATTTTATTGGGTATAAAACCATTTCAATAAGAAAAATAGAAGCTTAGGAAAAGTACTGCTTGCAAACTGATTCGAAAAAGACAATAAAATGACGAAAAAAAACACTTCAATTGGCTAGTATAATCAATATGAAAACCGAAAGCACTTTTCAGTTGGTTTTATATTAGTAAATTCACGAAAAACTTTCGTGTGCCATAGCTATTCTTATATGTCTAATGGGCTTAATGTACTATTTATCACCTGCCTTGACGACATGAGCCAATACTCTGTAATAATATACCCTGTAATAAGTACATGTAAAATAACTGTGTATGTGTCAGATTAGCTGACAAAAGTGTTCAGTTTTAAGTGAGGAATTTTATGTATATGCATTCCATCACAGAGTAGTACTGCTGTAATAAGCTCAAATTGTGAAAGAACAAGTAGTTTAATGAGAATCGAAATACGGATTAAAACCTTAGAACTCCACAGTTCAGGTAATTACTAACCGAACACAATTAAAAACTGTAAACGATAATTACTCAACAAGAGATAATTTCTATATGATACAAGGCATTGTAGCATTAATTTTCTAATTATAAATAATATTGATTCAGCATTCTTAGGTTAGCTTTTGATGTGAAGTTGAATAAGATAGTTGTAGCATCTAATTTTATATAAGATATCCACATTTAAATCAAGTGATTTCAGGACAGCTTTTAATAGATTCTCGTTAGCATAAGAACAGCTATCTAGTTATTATAATGGATGTTACTACCTAGTTTTCAAGGAAACATTATCTGAAATTCTTGTGACAAGACCTGAATATAACTTTGCTTTCGTCTGTTTCATTTTCTCAAACTATTGATTCAAGTTAAATAACTAATATGGGACAGTATGTTTGAAAATGGATTAATAAACCTGAAAAAAAGACAATCGTTTGATGTTTTCTGAACTTGGATAAATTACCGTAGTTTTCAAGAGGTTTGATGTTACATAACGTAAGTCATTAGTGATCCATTTAGCACACTTTTATATTAAAAATTTACGATCAAACACTAAAATTTAAATATATTTAAACAGAGTGGCAGAAATTCTTATTTCGGGTTTAAAAAAACGTAATGAAAGAACAGAACATGTTAAATACTAAGTAGGAATAACATAGAAAGATGACGATTAATAGTTTGGAACAACTTCTTATAACACTAAACACTAAAACTCACCTACAAACCACAAGGGCAAGTTCTCTTGTATCTTCGGTCAAACGATGAGGATCATCTGGATCACGAAGGAATTCAGTAGTACAATCAATCACCATATTCTGTAAATTATCACATCCTTTTAAGATACCAACAGCTTCCCGTCCACCTGAAAATTTGACACGAATTCTTTTATCTATATACTTGTTTAAATCAATAATAGACTCTTTCTTATGTTTTTCTGGCTGTTTATCTCCAGTAGGCATTCTTGCTAGAAATGTGTAGATAAGATGAATTAGAACAATATCAAAATTTATCACTAACAAATATGAATTATTAAAACAATTTTACGACGAACGATCATTTTCAAGTTGTTATTGTTAAATGGGATGAATATCTGGTGTTTTATATATGCTTCCATTTTGAAGGTAGAATGGTTGCTGGAAATATATATATATATATATATATATATATATGAGTTTTCAAAATGAATTCAAAATTATTGTTTGGATATTTCAAGAAGTCATCAAATGCTGAAAAGATTTAGCATCAATTTAAAATAATAAATAATCAAAATAGAATTGAGTGGTAGATTATTTTAAATAAAGATATAAAGGTATAAATAAGATAGGATAGTAGGCATCAAAATATTTTTTGTAATCTTATTCTTTCTACTTATTTGTGGATCAGTAACCAGTAATAATTAAAAAAGCTTATCCGAAAGTAAGCTAAAATATAAACTATATAAGATGGTTTCATATTCAAAGTCTGCTCTCCCTCTCGAAATGCTCTAACATGGCCACACGTATTTAGCCTCTGCCAGGGAAGTCCTACTCACTGCCTTCTCGTAGCGCTACTGTAGTTTACGAAAATGAGAGGACGAAAAGCGAATGTTTGGTGCTCTAACCGGGTTGGTGGACACGGAAAGTTCACCTAGGGAAGTTGGAACATCCTGACTCCAAACCAATGGTTTACATGGGCTCCAGTATCCTGAGGGGACAAATGGCGTATGAATCAATCGTTGGTCACCGGCTACCATGGAACTGCACCTCCTAACGTTGCTCCACTGCCTCCTGTAGGTTAGACCTTTAGGTCAAAGGCTCCGGGTATGGCCCCCTAAGAAAACCACCTGTATTAGTTTGGACACCTGGGCAGTATCACAACCCTCACACAAATCAAATGAGATTTGTGAGGCGCATATATAGCTGGTGCCTTTTTGTACCAATATTTATGTGTTTAAATAAATAAATAAGGGAACAACTAACATTTGTTTGGTTTATTTTGAAAAGTGTTAATAAAAAGAAAATATAAAACTCTTGTTAATGTTGGCATGAGTTATGTCTTATTTATTACTTAAAGTCGAATTAAATATCCTTAAATGTTATAACTTTATTCGCTAAAAATTTACTATCAATTAATTGTTTTACTCAGCTTGTGATATATGAATTGTAATGCCTTCTGGTATTTTACTTGCATAGTCGAGTTATGAGCTTCTGTAATTAAGGTACTTGTAACTAATCATAAAACTTAAAAGATTAAAACGAATATGATAACGAAACTACAAAGTTTTGTTATTTAAAGCTATTATTAAACGTTGGTTTAAGTTAAATTTCTTATTGTACACAAAAATCATCAGATATGGTTGGGATTTTGTGATTTTCATAAGAATTGATGAAATTGTACTTCATGTTTCTTGTATTCAATCAGAGACTGTGGTTGGATAATTTCGAACATATTTTCGGATAGTGATAAAAACTAGTCATCGTTCAAATCCAGATTATTCTTATATCATTTTCAGATTAAGAATATTTCAAAGATTGGTTGCGCATATAAATATTCTTAATCGATTGTACACATGAGATCGATTTATCATTACCACTGAAAATTATTTCTGGCGGTTATAGGAGTGAGTCATCCAACAGAGTACAAAAGTGTATAACTATAACAGTCAAATCCAAAGTTCTATCAAATTTTATCATGAAGATAAGTATCACAGTTCATTGGTTGCAAATAATATTCAAATTCGAGTTTGTGAATATTTTATGGTTGTAACCTATTTAGTTAGCGGCGAAACGTAACTTATAAATTACGTCAAGTTATATACTGAACAAACCATATCTCAAGGTTAGGTGATAAGTTAGATGAAAGCACGGGCAGGGTACAATAAGTGGATTACCAACATAGCGAAGGTCCATCTAGGCTGAATACGAGTTTCTATGATAAGTGAACTGGACTGTAAATTTGAAGTGACTAGGTTAAAATATAGATGGAGGTTACGCATTTCGATGGGTATTTCTATCACAATCACTTAATTCTTATTATTCCACGAACACTAATAGCACTATTTTTTTGAATCCTGGAAAAATCTACCTAAAATTCATTTACCATAACTACTTACTTACCATTTGATTGCTTACCCATTCTCATATTATATTTCATTTGACAAACAAAAGCCGAAGGGAGAATATTTCAAATTGAAATGCATGTTGGCTTTTAGATAAATCAGATAATTAGTTTACGAATATTTTTCAATGAACATTACCGATGTGTGCTTCAGTTTGTGAATAAGAACCATTTGATTTATCTCAGTCATTAATCATAAGAAGAGAAGTACAAATACTTAAGATACCGAATCAGGGTTTTTATCTGATTTGCACAGAACATAATAAAATTAACAACTGATAAGTAGAAGAATAGATATCACTGGTTCATAATTCTTAGTTTATCATCTTGCCCTAGGAAAAAAGTACCCACTATTTTGAGGTGCTTGCTCGTCAAGATTATTCTGAATTTCTTGTATTCATTTTAGTCATCCTGTCAACTATCTCATATATAAGTACGGTGAACAACTTTTACTACAATACACGTTAGTTTTATTACAATGCGTAGAATTATCTCATACATCAGTCGAATTCCAGTGGCTTGTTCAGATGTGAATAAAACTTACATTATCAAAAAAGAAAAAATGTTTCTTTTCCCTCAAAAAAAAAACAGCTGTATACTTTTAGATGCTACAGCAGTCATAATCGATGTAGAGACTAGCACAAATGTGTATTGGCTGAAGTTGCCATACCATTTTAGCAAAATGGGATTAAATTTTACAGAAGTTAAAACATTGACTACCTATTTTAAAAATGCAAGTACCAGCATAATAACGAAGAAAACAATCAGTATTATGAATGTCAGACATTCATAATTAGAGGGATACAAAAAAGAAGTGCAATTTGTTCAATATTATCATTTTTATTAGAAGAAAATTAATACATAAATTAATTACGAATACTATACATAAATCATAAGTTGATTATATAAATAATGAAACCTATTACAACCAATATCACGTATGTAATAGAAAATCACAAATAGGGTTTACATTAGGAAATATGAAGGGAGAGAGAAGGGAAAATATCTGGTAAGAAAGAGCATGACAAAAACAAACGACCATTTTAAAGATTAAAGTAAAGCTGGATCAGAGAGAATGTTTACTTGGAAGACTGTGTAAATAAATAAATAAATACCATAGCCATGGAACTTTACAAACTAGACCAAACAATTGCTTTCTTAATACGTTCACATGAAACAAGAGAATTACCATTCGGATTCCAATGACAACAGACGACAATATTTCTGAAATGAAACAGGCAAAATAAAAGATTTGAGTTTAAACTGAGTGACATAACACATTAGTAGGTTCACATATTCGCGTGGGAAATGTAAACTTAATATATAAAATTGAAAGATTTAAAATATAACTAATATGCATTATGAATGCGAAGAAATTTAACTATGAATGAATAATCAACGAGAAGGTATAACACATTCGAGGTCTCATTATTGAAACATATGAGTATCCCAGTTAATTGTGAAGCATATCTAGTCTCAACATCACCCCAAATTCCAGTGTATTGAGAGGTTTAAGCTAACGCATCCAAAAGAGGAATATTCTACAAGTAGGGTTTACTTTTTTTAAATCAGTACAGCAGGCACACTTTATGGTAACCAAAGATAGTTGATTGGTTGGGCTTCCAGATAAAAGATGTATTGAAAGTACAATTATATCAAGATTTAACTTAAGTAGATTGTAGATAACTGGGAACAATATGACAAGGTCAAATGAGGGAAGAGTAGTTCAGTGTTTTTGTTTCTATATCTAATATACATACTGCTAAGAGAGTCCTATGTTACTCAGTTTTGTGAATAAGTGTTAGTTCTTCCTTGTAGAGATAACCACGAGTACAACATTTTAGTTCATATTTTCCAATAACTTTTGCACTTTCCACACTGATTGTTACAACTTTTGGTCTGCTAATCTCTTGCATCCCCAGGTCATATTTTTGGTACTATATATACAAAGCTGTTCCATTGAATTTTTCGTTCCTAAATACCACGTTTTATTGCAGTGCTGTGTTCCTTTGAGTTTTACTGCTGGGGATCATTAAAAAAGATTTATATGTGACAGTTTCCTCCTTATCGAGTCCGCAATAGTTTCAGTCCATAGCAGAGTAATTTCGATCGTTCTTATTTAGCAATTATCGTGGACCGAATTAAACAAAAACGCAAAATACGACACACATTGACGCTACTACTGATAGCTAGAAAGGTGGTATAGATACCAGATAATTTGTGAATTAGCAAAAAGAAAACTAGGGATTAATTCAAGTTCGATATACAATGTCTATGAGAATTGCAAGCTCTAAGAAGCTTATACTTTGAAGGTGACTAAGAAATGATTTGCGAATTCATGGGATGTGAATCAGTCAAATTTATCTGGGTAGGAGGATATGTGCTTCTGAATAGCTGATCAAATAAGGAATTCGAAATGACAGTAATGAAAAATATACCAATAATGGGATACGGTTTTTGGTGATTAGTTTTTCCAGAGGGAAAATAATTCGACCGACTTATAGGTAGATCGGGTAAAAGGTAAAACGAAGGCTTAACTAATGAATAACTGAATGTTATGAATAAGTCTATAAAACTGAAACTTCCTGTTAAACATATGAAACGTATATTGTTTGGTATAACAGAAAACTATTGATACTATATTAGCTCTTTAGAGGATGGAATATTATCCAATGTGTCACGGATTGAGTATTTGTTTAAATTATAAATATGTACAGAGCTAGGTATGTTCGTGATGATATAAATGACTCTTGACAAATATTTAAGTATTTAATTGGTTACTGCTATGCACGTTTTTTTACGTAGGGATAAACTTAACACGATAGCCATACTTGAGATGACAAACTTTTTAGTATAATTTTTCATCAAA